GAGTCCGATCGAAACGTTGTCCCCCCCACTTTTCTCTCTCTCTCTCTCTCTCTCTCTCTCTTGCATTTCCGTGTTTGTCGTGGAATTAGCGATGACGGACAATAATAATATTCCCACGTGTAATTTTTTTTTTGTTTTTGTTTTTTTTTTTTTTTTTTTTTTACTTCGACGATAACGATGAGAGTACTGATTGTATTATTGTTAATGTTGAATTTGTCCTCGGGGGGAGGGGGGAGGGGGAGGTTCAAAGTCTTTTCGTTTGTAAATCGTGCGAGCCCATCGTCGAATAAACGTTTATGACATTTTTTGTCATGTCGTTGCGTAAGGTTTTTAAATTTTTTTTTTTTTTTCGTGGCCCCTGAAGGCCGACGGTTTTTAATTTTTGCACGAAATTCTCTCTCTCTCTCTCTCTCTCTCTCTCTCTCTCTCTCTCTTATTTTCCGTTTTTTTGTCAAACGTTATTTGCACGCACGAAAGGAAAAAAAAAAAGAAAAAAAAGTAGTCGTGCGTGATGACGTTGTTGTGCCTGCCTGCCCTCTACTTCTTCCCTCCCTCCTTTTCCTCGCTCCCCCCCCCCCGCACAAAAACAGGTACCGAGAAGATTACGTTTTCGCAACCCCCCTCAAAAGTTAAGAAAGTTACAAATTTTTTAAACGACGCCGTAATTGTGTGCGTGTGCACGTGCGTATGTTGTTTTAATATTTTCTTGCGATTGTGTTCGAAGGTAAAAATAATAATCAAAGGTAAAGGACGATTAATAATAATAATAATACGTCATGATTTATATTATTATTATTATTGCTATTATTATTATTATTATTAGTATCATCTTTTTTTTTGGCATGCGTTTTTCATTCATTTGATTGACGGACGTTTCGTAACATATTATTTATTCGAATTTTTTTTCCGAAGGTGAAATCATGTGTGCGTGTGTGTGAGGCGGGGGAGGGGCGGAGCGGGGAGAGGGGAAAGAAGAGTATTATGGGAAGGAGATGAAGGTGGGAGGGGGGAATGGAGGGAACAAAATTTTGTATGCCCGTGTTATTTAATATCATTTGCGTTAATTATGATTTACGTTTGACAAGAAAATTTATTTTTTTTTGCATTTGCTACGACGTGCCACGACAAAGTGTCATCAGTTAAGTTTTTTTTTCATTTTCTTCGTACCTGTTGCTGTTATTTCCTTTCAGGTGGAATTTGTCGTAGTCGGTTGTTTGTTTGTTTGTTTTAATTTACACTGTTGCAATTTTCGTTTCGCAACGGTAAAAAAAAAAAAAAAAAAAAAAAATTAATTAATGATGATATTATTTCGTTTCGATATCTCGTTTTGTGAGATTAAAAAAAAAAAAAAAAAAATGGCGCAATTTTTCTTTCAATTTGTATTTATTCGAACGATTAAGAATTGCGAGCATTGCTGCTGACACGTTAAAATTAAGAGGTGGGGTTTTTTTTTTATTAAATGGCGTCTATCGAAATTAAATCGTGGTACTAGTTACTTACTCTTTTTCTTTAAATTAGTTTGTATCGGTGTCCTTAATTTTTTTAAAAATCGAATTTAAAGTAAATGTTTTCGTCTTCTGCTTTTCAAAAACAAAAAAAAAAAAAAAAAAAAAAAAAATTAATAACATTTGAAATTTTAATTGACTTTTTAATTTTCCGCAATAATACCTATTTTCTACTTTGCTTTGTTTTCGTTTTTTGTAATTTGAAAAAGTCTAATTACACGTTTGTCACGATAATAAAAATGAAATTAATTATTATTAGTTATAGTTATATAGTTTTTTACCGTTTCGAAATTGGTTCGAATTAAAATCGAATTTTATTATTATTATGTCGATTACAAAAGTTTTTTCCCGCGAAAATTTTTATTATTATTATTATTATTATTCTAGTGAAATTCCGATTGTTTTGTATATGTGTATACAAAAGGAGAGAAAGCGGTAACGATATCGATCGTATTTACTATTGATTTTCCGATATATCGAACAATTACTTAACGTATACGTTTCGGTTGGTTAATAAACAAAATAATAATAATAGAAAAAAAAACGAGAAAATGGAAAACGTTTTGCAAAAATAAAAAAAAATAAAAAATTAATGAACGCAATTTTGTACGTTTTCGAACGTATCGCGTATAATTTCACGTTCAATGCGGGGGGAAACCTTTCTTGAGTTATCGATCGATGGATCGATCGATCGATCGACCCATCGACCGACCGGGAAGGAAATAACGATGATGATGACGATGATGGAAAGGAAAAAAAAATAAAAAATAAAAATTTTAAATTATTTCCATTAAGGAAAATTATTATTCATTTTTAAAAATTATCATTATCATCATTAACTTTCGAATTAAAAATAATTGAAAAAAAAAAAAAAAACTTTACATCATCATTATCATTACTATTATTATTATTGTTGCTGTTATTATTATTATTATTATTTTAAATTATTATTGAGGATTCAAAAGTCCGTAATCCACGGTGACGTCATGACATTCAAAAAAAAATCAATTATTATTAATAGTATTATTATTATTACTGGTTTTTTTTTTTTCGAATTCGTGTGCTTGAACCGTCGGAAGAAATTATCATCACTAATAATAATAATAATAATAATAATAATAATAATAATAATAATTTGAAACGTTAAAATTTTGCCGTTATTTATTGATGCGACGGCGTTTCGCGAAGAGACAACTTTTTTTTCGATTTGATAATTTTGCTGTCGTCAAGAATTTTTTTATTTATTGTTGTTTTTCCCTCCCCCTCCCCTTCTAAATAGTTGTTGTTATTATTCCGAGTAATCATTGATAAGAATCTTATCGATTCGGATGATTAGATGATGGGAAAATAAAAATGTCGCCAGTTTAGAAGGGAAGGGAAAAATTTTCCGTTCGAAATCGCAGAAGGAAGAATTAAATTTTAGAAAATTGCGCATCGCGTAAGTTTTACACGAGCGGAAAGGACAAAAAAAAATAGAAACGCGTTAAATAATTAATTTTCCTTTCGAAGGTATTTCGCGGTCTTTTTAAAAATTCGAAAACGTGTACGTTGACACTTTGTCGAAATCGTGAAGAAGAAGGAAAGTCATAGAGTAAATGAACCTTCCCGACAATAAAATAATAATAATGATTTACGTAACTATATGCATTTAAGGGAAAATTATCAAAGTTACTTAAACAATATCGACAAAAAAAAAAAAAATTTTTTTTCTCTCTCTCTCTCTCTCCAATCGATTCGTTCGTTTCCGCGTTAATACTTATTATTATTATTACTTTCTATATTATAATTATATAGAATAAGAGTTTTTTAAAATCTAACGGAACTCGTCGTTTATCACAAATAATAATAATAATGTTAATAATAACGATACGACGAAAGGAAAAGGACAAAAAAAATTTTCTCTCTCTCTCTCTCTCTCTAAATGCGTTTTCTTTTGCCTTTTTTCCGATGTTTTCTTTTCGATTTGTCTAATGACACGTGAATTATGTTAATATTTCTCGCTCTGAGCCGATGAAATTATTTATTTTCTTAATATTTGTTTCCGACGGGGAATCTCTCACTCGGTTTCCATTTTTTTTTTTTTTTCAGTTTCATTGGAATTATCGTTTATTATTATTATTATTATTACTATTAGCGTATCTCAGATTTCCCGGATGAAATCGAGAAAAATTTCAAAGTGGGAATAATCCAAAAAAAAAAAAAAAAGAAAAAAAAACGACGAACGTGACGAGGAGACGAGTACGTATGTACCCACTATAGGCATGGTTTCTCCCAAGGTTTCCCTCCTTCTTCTCTCCCCCTTCACCTACCTCCCAGTTTTACCAATGTAAATTTTTGCACGCGGTAATCGTAATTGGAAAACGTATGTATTGAAAATTAAAAAAAAAAATCGGTAATAGTAGTAATAGTAGTAATAATAATAATAATAATAATAATAATAATAATAATAATAATAATAATAATAATAATAATAATAATAATAATAATAATAATAATAATAATGAAGGTAATAACGTTAATAAGAGTGCCGGCGATTAAACTCTGATATTTTCAAATAATTTTTCGGTTTGAACTTGAAATAATATTGCGGTCAATACGTGGCAAATGGTCGTAACGATCCCGCCAAATCATTCGCGCCAAATTTTAAAAAATTTCACGCGAGCAGCCATTATAGTGATTATTATTATTATTTTTTTGCGCACGTCATCGTTCGAGTATGTATGTATGCATGAATAGTGGAAAAATTAGGTTAACGTGTTAAAAATATGTTGCGGCAACTCTGTGTAGAAAAAGCTCTTGAAAATCATATAAAGTGTTGAGTAAATGTTTTCTCTCTCTCTCTCTCTCTCTTTCTCTCTATCTATCTATCTCTATCTCTTTTTCTCCAAGAGCAAAGTTTGTTCTCATCACACGATGATTTTGTAGATGTTAACAACCTAAGAAACTCGGTATAAATAGGCTCATGCACGAGTACGCAGCGTAAAAAACGTGTGAGAGTCGGTTGTTGGTAATTTAGCGGTTAGAACGAATGCCCTCCGCCTTCCCCCGCCCCCTGCCCCCTACGAAGGTTGTTTGTAGGATTAAAATTTTAGCAAGGAAGCACACATACACGGGGGGGTAGAAAGAGAGAGAAAGAGAGAGATTTAAATTGTATTGCATCGGTTGTTTTTCTTTTTTTTTTGTTTGTCGGTTGTTGTTGTTGTTGTTGTTGTTGTTGTACGTCGGCAATTTTTTTTTTTTTTTTAAACCGGTTTCGATTTATTTTTTAAATTATCGACAATGGAAAAGTCAACGCTCCGTTTGCGTCAATTGAACTTTATAAAACAAAAACAGAGGAATAATAATGATGATAAAGTGTCGGAAGGTAGAAGAAGAACGCAGAGCAGTAGGCGCCGCCATTTTTATTATTATTTTCATACTCAATTAATCATCATCATCATCATGGTTCCGGCGTTTTCGAAAAATAAATAATTTTTTTCTGTTTTTGTTTTCAGAATGTCTTTGCCAGTAACGGAAGACACTCCGCCAGACATGTTAGCAGGATCCATGGATTTAAATGTTGTTTTGCCAAAAGGTCAAACGGTCAAAATGAGCGTTCAAAGAGGGTAAGCAAAACAAACACGAGATGATCATCATCATCATCATTATTGCCACCACCACCGCCGCCGCCGCCGCGATCGTTTAATTTTTTTTTTTTTCCCGAACGGTTTCAGAACGCCCATGATGGATCTTTTGGTTCAAGTGACAACTGCTCATTGTCTATCGCCCGGAGATTATTCGTTACAAGCCATGGGAGACAAGGGAGTTTTACCGTTCAAACCGAACACTCCGATCGGAGCGTTGGACACGTTCACGGTTAAAATAGTCGAGAAAAAATCACAAAATCGCGGAAGAGCTCCTCAGGTGATGATGACGATTCGAAAGAGTTTCCGACCTAGCGGCCATTTTCATTTATTTATTTTTATTTATTTATTTTTTCAGGTTCCTCAAAATTTTCTCAACACTTTTCGTTTGCAAGTTCACTTGCCGAGGAGTCAGTTGTTTGTTCTAAGGGTAACACCCGACGTTACTCTCTCGGAAATAATGACTCACATATGCACGGAAAAAAATTTAAATTTGGATAAATACGAATTTAGGAATCCAGGTAAGGTTTAAACAAAAAATAAACTTTCCTCTTAAATTATTATTATTATTATTATTATTAAGAATTCGACGGTTTGAACGATATTTGTATATATACGGTTTATATGGAAAATCGATAAACCGGAAATGGGAAAGAATATTGGATAATTAATTCCATGTTTTTTTTTTTTTTTTTTTTTTTTTTTTGAAAGTAAATTTTAATATAATGATGACGTGGAAGAAATAACACAAATATGGAGTAGGTAAAACGCGCGTGTACGCAAAATATCATTATTATTATTATTATTATTTTTCGATCGTTTTCGAATTCGATATTCAATCATTAAAATCATTTATTATTATTACCTCGATGATGATGATGATTTTTCTCTTTTTTTTTTTTTTTTCGTTTTTTTGTCATTGTTGTCACTGATAACAAAAGTATTATGATGGTGGATTGATAAGGAATATAATAATAATAATAATAATAATAATAATAATAAATGGTTTAATGATAATTGTCAAGTTTATTTTTTCCGTTTATCGATCGTAAGTAATCATTGATTGGAACCTGATAAAAACATTTTAAAAGGTGATAGGAAACAGTGACGTAGAGTTCGTTAACGAATAAGGACGTACGAAGTGTTGGAGGAGAACCTGAGTGTACCTGAAAAAAAAAAAAAAAGTATTTTTCAAGTGGTTGCGCGGAGAAGTGCGTGGAAAAAATTTAAAAATTCGAAATTGTTATTATTATTATTTACTCTCGTTTGGTTCGAGTGTCGATTGTTGGATATTTCGATCGAGTTTGCCGTCGCAATCATCATCATCATCATCATCATCTCCTCTTCCTCAGAACGAGTTCTCGAAATGTTTTTTTTTTTTTTTTTTTTTTTTTATTATTCCTACTAGGTTTTTTATTACTGTGTACGAATTTTTATTTTTTATTTTTATTTTTATTTTTATTAACTTGAAAAAATCAATGACGTAACGGAATGATCTCCCCCTTCCCCCTCCCCCCGGTATCGTATGAAGTGAGAAAATTGTCGAATCGAAAAGGGGGGGGGAAAAAAATCGTGTCACTAAGGTCACGAAACCATAGAGTAATAAAAAAAAAAGCGAACGACGAAGACACTCGAAAAAAATAATAAAATTTTTTTACGCGATAAAAATAATTTTCACCTACTAGTCTGACGTGGAAAAAAAAAAATTAATAATAATAATAATAATAATAATGATAACGATAACGATAATGATAATGATGATAATGATAATAATAATAAAATTCACGTTTTAGCAAAAATTTTCACGATTTGACAAATAATGCGGGTCCACCACCGCCACCATTTTTTTTTTTTTTTTTCCTATAACGAATAATAAATAATAAATCGAATTTGTTTTTTTTTTTTTTCGAAAATTTATTCGCGACGTAAAATCATCATATCTGTTTGTTGTTTGTTTGTTTGTTTGTTTGTTTGTTTGTTTGTTTTATTTTTTTATTTTTCGTTAACTTCACGGTTTTCGTTTGTTTTTTTTTTTTGAACGTCGCAACGGCGGCGTAAAAGTATTCCCGCGTCCGTCGAATTTAATTTTAATTTTTTTTTTAAAATAAATAAATACATAAATTGATAAGTTTTATTAATTAATAAATACATAAGTACATAAATTAATTAGTTTTATTAATACATAAATAAATAAGTAACGGAATTATCCGGTCGATCGATTTTTTTTTTTTTAATGTTTGGATTATTTCAAATGCTCAAGTGGGTTAAGAAAAAAAAACATGGAGGGAAACGTAAAAAAGGTGACGAAATAATAATAATAATAATGATGATAATGATGATAGTAATAATAATAATAATGAATTTTCACACGTAAAAAAAAAAAAAAAAAAGGTCAAAATTTTTTTTTTTCGTGAAATTTTAGAAAATAGATTTATATGATTTGCGGCGGGATGGCCTTGCGTCGTCGTCAAGCTTGGATTTCTTCATTGTTAATTATACGTACACGCACGCACACACACACTAATATATATATATTTAAATGTGCGCGCACACGCATACCCTATTTTTCATTCCCCCGCCCCCCCCCCGTTTAATGTAAACGTTTGAAAATTATTAATAATTATTGAAGAGTCTCACGCGTTGTTAATACGTACGCGCATACGTCTCCGTAGGATGGTAGTCGAAAATTCCGTGTTATTATCATTATCATTATCATTATTATTACTACTGACTTTAATTAAAAAAAAAAAAAAATTTGAATTCGTTCCGGAATTATTATTATTATTATTATTATTATTGTTGTTGTTGTATTTTATTAATTTTTTTTTTTTTTTTTTTTTTTCCAGCAAAACTGGATGAAGTTTTGGAATTGGATAAAGCATTGGGAGATTATAAATTACAAGAATTATCGCTTATGAGCAAGGGAAATAGAACGGTTACGAATTTTATGTCTTCTGCTGACGTCATCAAATTGAAATCTTCGAAACACAGGCAAAACGTATGTGTGTGCTTTTATATCAAATTTCTATATTTGACGTCATTGTAATAATTGACGTCGTGTACGATAGTGACGTGATTGCGAAAAAAAAAAAATTCATGTATATTTATCATTATTATTATTATTTATTTTAAAGAGCGTTTGCGATTCGAGTTTGAGCAGCGGTAGTTTCGGATCGAGATCAGGTTCACCCGTGCCTGTGAACAAAGTTACGATGGCACCGCAACCGCCGATAAGAAAAAAAAGAAGGCCCGCTCCGAAACCGCCTCGTTACGCCGAAAAAGAGGTAAACGTTTTTTTTTTTAATTGGACGATTTTAGGACTTGAATGAGTCGTTAAAAAAAAAAAAAAAAAAAAAAGTGTTCATTTCCGGTCTTTCGATAACTTTTGATTTTTTTTCATTGATTTTATTTTTTTGCGAAAAAGGAAATGAATACCGGTTCTGTGCTAATATCTCATTCGAGAGAGAGTTCAGACAGTTCGGGTTACCACGAGGCTTCGGTTCTTTCGGAAAGTCCGACTCACGGCGGTCCAGATTCAAGGATGGAGGAGGGTGAAAGTCCTCCCGACACTCTACCGAGAAGAAGCAAATTACCATCGAGTCAAAGTTTCACAAATTTAACGACGATACAACCCGCGCCAAAGGGTAGGCTCATAAACAGCGTGTCGAACACATCATTGAATTCAAACGGTAAGACAAAATAATAATGATAATGCCGGGGGAGGGGGGGGGGAGCGGGGGGAAATACGAAAAACGACCCAATTATTCATCTCGTTTGATTTTAGGTTACAGTCGTAAAAAACGAGCGCCTCCTCCGCCACCGCCGCCGCAACAACAACAACAACAAACAACGAACGTTGAAAAAATAAAGTCATCAACTTTACCCATTACAATGAGCGAAGAGTGGAGAAAGAGTTCCTCCGGGTTCACGACTGAAAATAATACTAATACTAATAATAATAATAATAATTTAAAAAGTGCCAAAGTTGATGAGGACTCTAACGCCAAAGTACAAAATCCCATAGAAATCACGTCACGAGTAGTTAACGAAACCAAAGCTAATAGAAAAGAAGAAGAAGAGGATGTGCCTTCAACCGTAGGTAAGAGACAGACGCCATATTAGTTTAGTAATTTGTTTGGTAGTTTGAAAACTCGTAGAAATTTGTGTGAGTGCGTGCGCGCGCATTAAGGGGATTAAAGTTATAATACTATGGCTTCCTCTCGTAAGTGGTACCAACCTTTAAAAAAAAAAAAAAAAACAAACAAACTTGGAGACTGATTCTAACGCGTTGAGAATTGAACGGTTGAGTGCTTTGGGAGGTACGCACGCACACACGCACACACACACACTCACGCGCGCACAAAGCGAAAATTTCATTTGATTTCCTTTCATTCTTTTATTTTTATTTTTTTTTTTTTTGTTTTCTTATTGTTAACTTTAGAATCATCTTTTACGGTTTAATTACCCATTATTTCCTCCTTTTTTTTTTTAAATTTTGCCGTGAATCATCATCATCATCATCATCATCCACTCCCAGATTTCATATCCTTTTCCGAATGAGTAGTTCATCCACCTTTAAATTTACAATGATGATGATGATGATAATAATAGAGAAAATGGCGTGAAGGGGCGAGGTTGCATCATGGCTTTGAGGTTTTGTTTTGTTTTGTTTGTTTCGTTTGTTTTGTTTGTTTTTCCGCGGCAATTAACGCTTCTTCTTCTTCTTCTGCTTGTTTTTTGCTTCCTATTCTAATCCGGTTTCAGGTTTTTGTTTCGTTTTTCTTAACTAAACTATTCTTTTTGACTCCTTTTTGTACATTTATAATTTAGATGTAGTTAAATGTAGAATTCCGCCCAAACCGAAACCGAGGACGGTTCTTCTCTCTCAAGGACGTTCCGAATCGACGACGTTCACGATGAAGAATGGCGAATGCAATGGGGGGGAAAAAATTATTTTACCCAAAGACTTGAATAATGCGGCGACGGAAATATCCAGTCAACGTTTCATCGATTCCGTTTCCGTCGGAGATGATAGTCGTCGTCGTTGTCGTCGTCGTGGTAGTAGCAATAGTAGCGATACTAGTCGTCGTTTTTGTCACGACTTAAAAACATTAGAAAGAGGAGGAGGAGGAGAAGAAGAAGAAAGCGAAATAATAAACACGAATGATAATGACGGCGATAACAATGCTAATTTTAAAACTGTGTCAAGAGTAACTATGATAATGAGTAATAATAATAATAATAATAATAAAAATAGTACAATCATTAATAAAATAATAAAATCGCCGCCTACCATCATCATGGAAAATAATGGAAAACATATTAAAAGAATTAATTTTGTTAATAACAAGAACGGTTGTCATAATAATAATAATAATAATAATAATATTAATGGGGGCGTCGACGACGACGACGACGACGACGACAAAAATGGCAACGGCGATGAAGATGACGTCGTCAAGAATGTTTACAATGGTGGTACGAATGAAATTATGCGAAAAATTATTATTATCACTAAAACAGGTGCTTAAAAACCTTTTCCGTTTTTTTTTCTCTTTATTATTATTATTATTATTATTAATATTAGAAATCGAATCCTCTCTATTATTTCTTTTTCTTCTTCTTCGAGTCAGTAAACTATCAGCAAACCCGAGAATTGTGACTAACATTAGGGGGGAGGGGAGGGAAGTGGGCGGAGGGCGGGGTACTTCGTGTTGACAATGATAATGGTGATACTGTCAATCGTCATTATTATTATTATTGCACTCGAAGTAAAATTTGAAAATCCAAAATGTACAAATGTATAAATGAATAGTATAGGGTTTAGGTTCGCATGCATAGTGAAAAAAAAGTCATAGAGTAAAATAGAGAATCGATAAAAAAAAAAAAAAAAAATTTAATATTATTATCATTTTAAAATATTTTTTGCGGTGAGCAAAATTTTTTAATTCCGCCATTTTTTTTTTTTTTTGATTTTCAGACGGATACGAAGAAAATGGAGGAACGAATGAAAATTTAGATCAATCGGCGGATCACGATTCAATCAATTGGGAATATCAACTTCCTCCGCCGCCGACGGATTTCCGAGATTCGAATTCGCCTAATTGCACGGAATTCGGTACGATAACCATAAGGCCGGAAGTTTTCGAAGAAGGAATGAATCGTTACGACGGAAATGAAAACGTCGGAGTCAAAAAGTCTGATGCGGTAGACGTAGCGAAGGGAAAAAACGCTTTTAGTAGTAGTAGTAGTCAAATGATGAAAGAGTCGACGATGAGAGAAGAGTTGTTCGAATCGTCGGATAGAGACCGGAAATTGTCGCAAAACAAATCGGAAGTCATGAACGAACTAACGAATATTTTAAACGGAAATAGAAAACAAAAGGAGAGATCACTTTCCGTCAACAACTTGTACATAACGGAACCCCCGGAATCCGGGGAATCGAAGAGAGATAGGAAACCATTGAATTACAGCAGGTCGTTCACGTCCGAATTCACGTCTTTGAGCGTCTATAAAATATCCGGGAGGGAACGTCGAAACAACAATCGAAGAAGGGGAGGAGTTCAACAATCGAAGAATTACGATTGCTACGACTATGATGACAACGACGATTACGACTACGACTACGACGACGACGACAACGACATCATTTATAGGAATAATAAAAACTTGGAGAAAAGTTGCAGTTTGGAATGCATACAAAACAGTCATCAAATGGATAACAGGAGGTACATCGAGAAAAGCGAAGAGATTTTTCGAAAGCCCATAGCTCCAGTGCAAAAAAAGAAAATGGCGAGGAGGTCGGCATCGTCGCTCGGGGTCAACACGTTGATGACGTCCAAACGACCAAACACTATCGAATACGGACACAACGCGGATGCCTGGTCGGAAGATCCGAGCATAAACGTTCTCAAACAGCAATTTTTAGAATTTTTAAAAGAGAAGAAATTGATGAATTCGGATTTGAAAATGAAATCTCTCGACGTCATAAGAAACATATTACCGGAATTCGCCGGCAACAAATCGAACGACGAACAATGTGACGTCACGAAAGAAGAAGGGAGAAATGAGAATGCAAAGGGTGGTGCGAACGACGATCGCGAAAATACTCGAAGAGAACCGACGAAACCCGAAACCGTCGACGGTGATTATTCGAAAGTCAAAAATGTCATGAAAACGGAAAAAGACGGGAATGATTCCGAGGATGTCGTTCTCAGAAAGAATTCCGAAAAAGTAGTCAGGAACAACGAAACGTTCGTCAAGAGAGAAAGTCTAGTTAAATTACCGACGGATAAAAAACAAGACTTGTCGAAAAGGTACTCGTATCAGGGTCCCCCGTCGATAAATTTTGCCACGTGGGGAGAAAGACCCAAAACGACGACGAGAATAATAATAAAAGATGAAGATTACGTCACGCAGGAAAACATAAATAAAAACAAAATGGAGGAAAAAACGACGGTGAGTACGATAACTGGGGCGGGACAGGGAACGGTAACGGTAACGGGTACGACGACGGGGAAGCAGACGAATAATAATAAAAACAACGACGAAACCGGAAACAAACCCAAAGAGGTTAGTAAAAAAACTCAAATCGTTATAAAGAAACCTGGGGTTTTATCACATTACGAAATGTTTTCGGCTCTTCCAAAGAAAAAAGAAATCAATTCCCTCAAATTGATTTTCATGGAGGAGGAAGAAAAGAAAAAATTAAACCAAAGCGAGTCAAAAGAACTCATAAACAACAGGGTGGCACCAGTCGTTTGCGGAATGGAACTCAAAAAAGAATTCAAAGAAGTCGGAGTCGGAGTCGGAAATAAATTTTCGGAATCCATTCGACCGATTCCCCCGTCGTTACAATCCCAACCCGCGTCACTTCCGGTCGCGTCGGATATGCCGACTCAATCGAAACACTCGGTTTCCGTGTACATAAACGGTCACAACAACAACGGTCAAACGGATGCCGCCGTCGAAAAAACAAAATCGGAAACGAATTTTTTAAAACAGAAAAATTCGGGAAATTACATGATTCCGAAGAGGAATCCCACGCTCATGCCCGTCGTGAAAGGATTCAGGCCGTTGAACGAAACGACGACGACAACGTCGCAGACGACGTTGCAGACGACAACAACAACTACAACCACGTCAATCGTCAATTCGTTCAACAACAACAAAGTAAATATAAACATCGAAAGAAAAAATTATTGCAAAGAAATTTCGAATGACGTCACGCCGTCGGCGATGACGTCGTCGACGCTGCAAAGGCGATCGAATAATTTGAAAAATCAAATTAACGGAAACGTCGTGCCACTACCTCCTCCTTCTCCCTATTCGACGTCATCGACGACGTCGACAACAGCGACGCCTATAATAAACAAAATCAAATTGAAATCGACGTCGACGACGTCATCGTTCGTAACGGTTAAATCATCCGTATCGATTAATCGAGACGATTCGAGAAGTCGATTGTTGGATGAAATTCGTAATTTCGGAGGTTTTGCAAAGGAAAACAAGTTAAAACCGTTAAATTACGTTTAGTCAATTAATTTTTATTTAATATGTAATTACGCGGGTTAATGCAATCCACGCATTACTTGTTGTTATATATATTCGATGTGTAAAATATATATATAAAAGGGGAGAAAGAAAGGAGGGGGAAAAAAAAGGCAAGTCAAATTAAATCCTTTTTGCGATTCTTTTTTTGTTTTTTTTTTGGGGGGTAGGGGGGAAGGAGCAGAAAAGGATTATTATTATTATTATTAGTAACCGTTATGAATATACACATATTATATATTTATATATATATGTACCGTGTGTGTGTGTGTAATCGATAAATCAATTATATTACAATTCATTTTCTTTTTGTCTGTTTTTTTCGTTTATTATTATTATTATTATTACATTTAATAAAAAAAAGTCGTTATATGTACGATTAAGACGCTCATTTGAACAAAATTTAACATAAAAAAAAAGAGGAGGGGGGGAATTTTTTTTATTCCGAAAAGAAACTTCCGGTTTTCTTGAACAAACAAGTAAGTGGTGGTTTTCATTCTTCAAATTCTTTATTTCTATTATTATTATTATTATTATGTTTTGTTAGTAAGGAGTTGCACTTGAATATAATTAAAAATTGTACCCCTAAGAGGGAGGGAAGAAACGGGGGAAAGGAAAACAGAGAGAGAAAAACAATATTATCAATTATTATCATTATTATTATTTATATATACATATATATATATATATATATATATATAATTATTATTATTATTAAAATACTATTTTTGATTGTTGTCATCTATGTGAGAGATCATAATGAGAAAATTATTTTAAAAAAAAGGAAAAAAAAAAATAATATTAATAAATAAATAAAATTACCAATTAATAAAATAATCAATTAATTATTTATTTATCATTATTAAAATGTTATTGATCCTTTATTGATTGATAACGATAGTTATTGATTTTTTAAAATTTATTAAACAAAACAAAAGGAAGGAAAACGATAAGTTTAACTTATACACAAGTTAGTATCGATTAAATGATTTGTTTACTCGAGATGAAGTTAATAAATGTTAGGAATTAACGAAAGAGGTTTTAAATAGAAGAGAATTGAATTTAGTCGATTTGTAATCACATGACACAATATATTCGATAATACATTAAAAACTAAAATTTTTATTTTATATATATATATGTATATATTTATAACAAAATTAAAATTATTTAAACATAAATATAAGTGAAAAAATTTTTTCTCAATACAATCGCCATTGCGAATTGTATTCGAGAGAGTACATGATTTCTATTATTTATATCGAGTAAAATATGATTATACATAATTTTTACATGTTTCCAATTAATCATAGTTTATACATGGGAACAATAAGCAATTAATTGATTATAAATAAAGAGAAAAATAATTACAATCGAATGATGAGACTATTGTTAAAGGGAAAATTAAATTAAGCTGGTAATTTTTCTGTATCTGGTGTAAACTCACTTTCAGTAGTTAATTTGTCTGCTCCTTCTTTTTTTTGTAATTGATATTTCCGGTACTGTAAATAAAGAGAAAAAAACAACAAAAAAATGAATTAAAAATGTTTTTTTTATTATTTAATTTAAATTTAAATTAAAATAAATTACTAATATTTACAGCTAAATAACCTAAATTGGTAAATGTATAAATTGTTGAAATAATTGTTAATCCTATCGCTGTACATACTCCAATTTTATGAGTTACATCATAAAATCTACTTCTTCCCACTTTGGGTTTTAGAAGCATTATAATTACTTTTTTAAAAAAAACAAAAACAAATAAATTCGATTAACGAAACAGCAGAAGACGACTTTTGTGTGTGCGTGTTTATATACTCTATGATTAAATTTAACGGTTTGTCGAATCCACATTTGTGTGATAACGTATATGTTTCAATGTAAGCGTATCTTTCACAAACGTTTTTTGTTTTTGTTTTTTTTTTTTTGTTTTTTACGATTAATAATAAAATTTATTAATATTATTATTATTAAATTATGTATCGATAGTTTTTTTATTGAAGTTGATTATAATTTTTAAAGTCGTCTAATAATCGAAAACTTAAAAATTTTTGTGTTTTCATATGGGATGAATTTCAATCGAACTTAAATCTTGTACCTGAAATTATTATTATTATTATTATTATTTATGTAATCTTTACAAAAATTAAGTTTAATTTATTATATTTATAATTTTAGAATATCAGGCAGTAGGTTTATGGAACGTCGAATATTCTTTTTCGCCATTATTTATTTAATTTTTCTTTCATTTTCCATTAAAAAAAAAAAAAAAAAAAAAAAAAAAAAAAAAACATTATGGCTTCTAAATTAAAAAACAACAGTGAGGATAATAAAATGTTTTGAAAATTATTATTAACCCAATATAAAAAAAAAAAAAATAATAAAATATAAAATAAAATAAAATAAAAAAAAGAAGAAGAAGAAGAATAAAAAAAAAAAAAAAAAAAAAAATGTTACTTACTTGGAGTACTTAAATACATATGCAAACAAAAAAAAAAAAAAAAAAAGACGAGAAATTAAAAAAACAAAATTTTTAAATGTTTATTATTATGCTGAATGAAGTTATAGTTTTTGTATTTTTGACAAGATTTTAAAAAGATAAAAAAAATAATAATAATTATAATAATATAATTAATGTGCCTTCGTAAGAATAATAATAATAATAATAATAATAATAATAATATGTAATTATCAAAATCATGTTAATCATTTATAAGTTGTAATTATATTGTTTTGAAATAATTTTTTTTAGTTTTATTAAAATGTAAGTTATTATTAATAAATTTTTTATATTTATTTGTGTGATGTGATAAATATATAATTAATTATTTATGTGAATGAAAAAGATTAGAAAAAACAAAACAAACGGTTTTGTGGTTAACGAATGTTTAAATTTATTATTTTTTTTTTTAGATTTTATTATAAAAACAATCGAAGAAGGAATTGTATAACTAATAATATGACTGATATTAAAAATAAGTTGAAATTACAAAACCCATCACAAAATAAAATAAATAATAATAATAATAATAAGGCAGTGAATTCGAATGATGCTGAAAAAAAAATTCAAAATTTTTTAATTTTTCACGCATGGAGAAAACAAAGAGAAGAAAATAAAAAACTCGAAGCTGATGTCAAAACTTTAATGCTTAAAGTTTGTATCAACTTTAACTTAAGTTTTTTATTAAAATGTGATTGTTTATGTGTGTTTTATATGTATTTGCAGGTTAATAACATGTCCATTCAAAATTATGCACTGAGACAGCTTTTGGATGCTGAAAAAGCGAGAGTGGTTAATGTACATAACGATATGAAAAAATTATTTAATTTATTACAAGATTCTAAATATGAAAAAAAATTAATCAATGAAGTAAGTTTATCTATCAATTTATTTATTATTAATAAAATGATTTGATGAATGTGTGTGTGTGAGAGAGAGGTTTGCACAAACTTATCGGTTTACTCGAAACAAATTTTATTATTTAAGGAAAAAGAAAAACTCGAATTTCGTTTGAAAACAATCGAAGATAAAGTGACGACAATGGAAAACGAATATAAAAATCAAAAAAATGAATTAATAAATGCACGTTTGGAAGCATCAAGTTGGGAAAAACAATTGGAAAAAGAACGTGAAAAATTAGCAAAAATGAAAAATGAAAAAAAATATTTAATGGACGAAGTGAGAGACATTTTTTTTTTAAATAAACTAAACTAAACTCAAACTCAAAGGATTTGAAGTCGCTTGAGAAAAATTATATTTTATTTTTTATTTATTCATTCCGGGTTAATGTTCTAAAAGAAAAAAAGAATAGGAAAAATTTACAAATTTACTTTTCGACACACAGGTTCAGTTAAATGGAAATGTCATGGTGTGGAAAATTCCAAGTTTTGATCAAGGTTTACAACTTGATAACATACTAGAAGGAAAAAAACCAAAGAAGCCAGCATTGCCCTGGGACTATACTGTCGGACGAAATAACCAAATTTTTGAGTAGGTTTAATAATAATAATAATAATAATCAAAAATTATTATTTTTTTTTTCTTATTAAAAAGCAACAACAACAACAATCAACAAACAACAATCTTTACAAATCAGGCTTTGATAGTTTTTTTGTTTGTATTTTTGTAACCGAAATTTTAATGACGTCATTACAAGACGTGTCAGTTGTAAAAAAAAAAAAAAACAAGATGGCGGAAAAAGTTATCATATCAGTATCATCCCAGGCATGCTAAAACCACAAATCATTTTTAATTGCGAAATGATTTTAGTTTTAATAAAATAAAATAAATTTTTTTCGATGGCGACTTCTTATTTGTTTTAAATTTGATCGATGATAATAATAATAATGATTAAAAAGGCAAATGGAAAGGGTATGAACGCATTTTTTTTTTTATTCATTTCAGAATTTCGAAACCAGTGATACGTCAAAAGAAACAACAAGCCGTAATAATAGTAGAAAAACCACTCGAGAGTCCAGAACTAAGAGCACTTCTTGCAAAAATGGAAAAAAAAATAGTGGTAAAGGATTTGAAGATCGAGGAGTTGGAAAGGTTGATTTCGGAAAAAACGTATGGAATTAAATTATTATTATTATTATTTGTAATCGATTGCGCGGGAAAAATGGCGTTTTTTTTTTTTTTTTTTCTAGTAAAAATTCAAACAACAGAATAAAATCATTAGAATTTCAAATTCCACATTCATCGAGAGATACAAAAAGATGATATTCGATCGTTGACCCTACGAAAACCCAAAAAAAAAAAAAACAAAAAAACAAAAAAAAAACAAAAAAAAAAACTTAATTTTTTTTCACGTTATGTTAAGCTAATAAGAAGAAGAAGAAGAAGGAGACGAATCGAAGAAGAGACTTTTCTTTTTTATTATTGTTATTATTATTATTTATTTATTTTCTTTACCTCATTATTATTATTATTATTATTATTATTATTATTATTATTGAGTGTCTTTTTGGTAAGTGATGCACCCCCCAATAAATTTCAAATCAATTTTTTATGTTCGCAATTAATTAATTAATTTTATTTGTATTTATTTCAGTTTGAATGAAAAAGAAGAAAATAATACAACGATGATGATGATGATGATGATGATGATTTAAACAAAAATAATAATGATAATAATAATAATAACGTGTAATTATCTTTAAAGAGGTTACCAGTGATGACAATAAATTTTTTGTCTTTGTTTTATCAAAAATTGTTTTTTTTTTTTTTTTTTTTTTTTTTAAATTTTTATTTTTTTTATTTTTTATTTTTTGTTTTTGTAAAGTTTAAATAATGGATGATTAGCTGTTGGAAATTAAGGTAAAAAAATTTGAATTCTAGGGGTGAAAACTAGGGGTAATGGCAACAAAGCAAATCAAACGTTTTTTATTATTATTATTATTATTTTAAGGTTTTTATTCGTTTAAATAATTCGGTTATTAGTTTTTTGTAATTTTTTGATTAGTAGTAAATGCGATTTAATGGCGACGATGATAAAATGCATAATAATAATAATAATTAATTTGTTTTTTTTTTTTTTGGTTTTTCCGCCCTTTGAAAAGAGAAAGAAAAAGAAAAACTGATAGGAGTGCTATCTACTTTGTTTATATGAGATGAAATTGGCAACACTGTCATGTACACAACTCTAAGAAGTTGAGTGTTGGGTGTTGAAGTTTTTTTTTGTATTATCCGATCACATGAAACTAATGTGTTTTATTTAGTACATTTTTTTTTTTTTTTTTTTTTGGAAAAAAATCCGATGGCTTCGAGAAGGTAAAGATTAATATACGATTTTAAATAAATATCCTAGTTGCATATAAAATGCAATGGGGGAGAAAAGTAATAATAATGATAATAATTATTCACCATCTGGTGGGGTAATATTCTTATTGAGATGAAGAGAAAAAAAAATTTTTTTTCATTTCTTTTTCTTCTTCTTATGTATAATTCGTAAGTGATGAGTGTTTGTTATGTTTTTGTGTGTGCGTGTGCGTGCGTGAGTGTGTGTGTGTGATTAACACATTAACACAATTCAAGGATTTTGATTGAAAATTATATTTTAATTTTTTCAACAGGTGGTTTCATCCCAACATATCTGGTGTCGAAGCAGAAACAGTACTATTGGAAAGAGGTTTCGATGGGTCTTTCCTAGCAAGGCCAAGTCGAGCCAATCCAGGGGATTTTACATTATCTGTAAGGTAAGCCTAATAAAAAGTTTTTCATTTTTTTTTTTTTTTTTCATTCGAATAAACAATGGATGACAATGATTGATTGAAAATGGAAAAATTACAAAAAAAAATTTTTTTATTAATCGATATCATTGAATTTATTATTCGTTTAAAATAATAATAATAATAATGAAAATCCTTAAAAGAAAAAAGGAAATTTTTCGTTTCTTCCTATTGCATAACACATTGTTGTTTTCATTTTTTTTTTTTTATGTAGGATTAATTCAATAAAATGTTATTAATAAATAAAAAAAAAAAGTAATATAAAGCCATAAAATAAAATAAAATTACATAACTTATGTATGCAAACACACATCGTTGCATCTTTTTTACTTTATATATTATTATTATCGTTTGATGTAATATGGTCAGTAATATATAATAAAAAAAGAGTGTAATATATATATATTTTATATTTATTTTTCTTTACAATGTCATCATCATCATCATCATTAAACATCATAATGTTCAATCATCACATATTTAATATAAAAGTTTTTTATGTTCGAGGAGTGGCAGGTTCAAAGTTAAAAATTTATTTTTTTTTTTTTAATATCGAGCTTTATATTTATTTCATAATGACAAGTTGCAACACTTGCTATAAAATTATTTATTAATACATAATTCATTGTTAATAATAATGATAATAATTATTATTAGTTTTGTATGAATGTAAAGTGTAAAAAATCACATTGATTAAGAATTGAAATCGTTTTCATGTTATACAAATATTTCTTGATTGATTGGAAATCGATTTGCAGAATGTATACATGATGGCGTTTAATTTTATTCTTTTTTTTTTTTTTAATTGTAGGAGAAATGGAGAAGTGACTCACATAAAAATTCAAAACACTGGAGATTTTTATGATTTGTATGGAGGAGAAAAATTTGCAACACTTTCCGAATTGGCAAGTGAATTTTTAATTTATAATTTTTATTTTAAACTCACACGCTTTACACACACATGCACTCTCTCTCTCTCTCTCTCTCTCTCTCTCTCTCTTACAGTAAAATAATTTAAGGTTTAAGGTATGAAATGATTATGATTAGTTTATCGAAACCTTTTTTTTTAAACAAGTTTTCTATTCGAATGTGTGAAATACAAACACAGGCTTGATACTAAACTGATAAAAATCATTTTGGGGTAGTCGAAAGAAAAATAATAATAGTAATAATTGTAGTTGTTATTAGCATTGTCATTTTGAAGGGGGAGGGAGGGGGGAGAAGAGAGAGAGAGAGAGAGGGAAAGAGAGAGAGAAATGTTTTGTTATAACAAATTAAAAGAAAATTTGTCCTTCGAATGGCGAACGTGGTGTAATTAAATCATCAAATATTTAGTATTAAAACAAAAATGGCTAAAAATAAATCAATAATCAAAGGTTAGGTTGTGTGTTATTGGCAATACGATCTCGTAATTTTTTTTTTTAAGGTTTTTTTTCTTGTTTCGTCGTCGTCGTCGTCGTCGTCGAAATGAGATCTCATTGCCACCCTGAATTTTTTTTTTTTTTTTTAAATTCGAAAGAAAGAAAAAAATCTCGCGAGAAATTCGATCGTTGATAATTGATGAAAATATAAGGGAGGGATACATTTCGCGAGTTTGGTCGTGGTTTTAATTAATTTTTTCCCGCTCATTTTTTCCCCGTTAGGGCCCCGATAAATAAACAAAACAAAACAATAATGGCGGAGGATCGGAACGGGAAAATCTTTCGTTTCTTTTTTGTTTTTTTGTTTTCTTTTTTTTTTTTATTTAATTAATTAAAAATTTCGAAATTAGAATCGGTCTGTTAATTAAATAGATGAATATTATAATTAATTTAATAATTTTTTACGTTTCGCTTTTGTATTCGCTTAGATATATATTTATTTATTAATAAAATTAACAGAGCAAATTAAAAATTTTAAAAATCCGTTACGCGTATGTTGTATGGGAAAGAAAGAGAGAGAAAGAAAACAAAACATTTCGTGGATATAACTAAAAGTCGTGGAATTAATTACAAAAAAAAAATTATTATTATTATTTTCTTTTTATTTTTCCTCCTTCGTTTTCGAACGGGTTTGAATTCGCGCGGTTTTTTTTTTTTTTTTTTTTTTTTTTTTTTTTAATTCTTTTAGGAGAGGGCGGTGGGTTGGGTTGGGTTGGAGAGGGGGGATTTATTTCGTTTGAAATTTCACATTTGGCCTAAAATCAATATTTTGGTGACATCACCCAATACTTGACGTTTTAAATTTACGAAAGTTTGTTAAGAAAAAAAAAAAAACGAGTTTTCGTTAGGGTTCGTTCGTTTGTTCGTTACGTAACACATACGCATCCATTTTTTTTTTTAAATTTTATTTAACGCACGAATGAATTTATTGTTTTAACGTTTACGGTTAAAACTACTCAATAAAAAGAAAAAAAAAGAAAAAAAAAAAAAATTACGTAAGTCGATTCGTATACAAAAAAAAAAAAAAAAATATTTGAAATTTTTTTACCTTATTAAAAAAGGGTAATTATTATTATTATTATTATTGTTTGTTTTTTATATTGTTCTCATATGGAACGGTATGACGAATAAGGACGGAATGCCCAATTAGGGCATCGTACCTGTTTTTTTTAAATAAAAAAAAAAAAAAAAAAAGAACAGTTCGAGTAAAACCCGTTAGTAGGATCACATTGCTTTCTTTAAATGGGGATTGACGCCAACCAAAAAAAAAAAAAGACATTTGTGAAATTATTATTATGAATTATTATTATTATTATTATTATGGTAGATGATATGAAAAGTTTTTTTTTTTTTTTTTTTGTAAGGTTGTCGTACGAGGTCGGCAATCATCGTTTCATTTTTCTTCTGCCTCCCCGTATCTCGGCGATGGCGGACATGGCCGTTTCGTTTTATAATAATATTAATAATAATGATGATGATAATGATGACGATGATGATGATGATGATGATAATTTTTATTATCCAATTATCCAAAGATACGATGACATGTAAAGATCAAAACCTCTGGTTACCGCGGTTCGTTGTCGTGTCAATAGAGAACGCATTTGAACTGTTTTTCAAACCGTTTTCTCTCTCTCTCTCTCTCTCTCTTTATCTCTCTCTTTCCCTCTCTCTGATGAGATTTTCTCAACGGAGCAAATCGTCGTATTTTAATTTTCCTTTTTTATTTATTTATTTATTTATTTATTTTAAAGCAAACATTCAAGTTTTATTTAGAAAATTGCTGTCGTCGAAAAATGCGGTTTGTTTTGTTCCACTCGATTTCATTTTTAATCCGATTGTTTTGATATAAAATTTAATTTTCCTAATGTAAAAGATTATGTATGAAAATTTAATTTTGAAAATTGATGGAAAAGGAGGAAAATGACGTCGTCGTCGGTTTCGAATGATTTGCACATTTTCCTATTTGGAAAGGGTGGGAAAGGAAAGAGGAAGGGGAGAGAGAGAGGGGGGGGGGAAAGAAAGGAAAGGAAAGAGAGCAGAAAAGTATCGTTTAACAATAGCAAAAAAAAAAACTTTAATTTCGGTTCGAGTGAATCAGAGCAAAACGTCGGGCGGAATTATTTTAAAATAAATATATATATATATATATGTATGAGTTTATGTGGAGAATTCATATTTATTTAAATATATGCGTACTCATTCGTGTATATGCGTGTGCGTAGCCATTTTTTATAAATTAGTAGAGGAGAAAGTTTGTAGCAGTTTGTAATTTCCTTCCTACGTATTTTAAAAAAACTATAACCAATTATGTATTTATTTTTTTTTTGTTTTTTTACGAATGGCAGGTCTCGCGAATAGGTCATGCAGCACGAAGGAGGGAAAGAGAGAGAGGTCACGTTGTAGTCCTTCTCTCTCTCTCTCTTTCAAAATTGTTGTACGAACAAACAAACAAACGAACAAACGAAAAATTTTTATATTTACAATCATTGAGATCATCTTGCGTGTGTGTGTGTGACATCCTTTACGAATAAATTTTTCAACCGACGTTTGTTGTTATAATAATAATAATAATGATAATGATAATGATAATAATGATAATGGATTTAATTGAATAAATACAAAAAGGTTTTCACGCGTGATTTTTTTTTTTTTTTTTTACCTTACTGCGCTCTCTCCATTTAGAGAAACCCCCATCTCCCCCGGGCAAGAAAACATGATTATTTGACATTTTGTTTTATTGTTTCAGGTTCAGTATTATGTGGAAAATCAAGGTCAGGTTCGTGAAAAAAACGGTCAAGTTATAGAATTGAAATATCCGTTGAATTGCGCGGATCCGACGCCGGAAAGGTGAGTTTCTGTTTTTTTTTTTTTTTTTTTTTTCTATTTCGTTTTTTGTTGCAAAAGGTTAGAGTTGGAATTAATTTATTCGGAGGGAAAATTAAAAAATTCTCACGTCCTTCCCCTCCCCCGCCCCCTCGCGCCCCCTGCCCCGCGCCTTTTACGTGAGGTTATCAAGTAAAAGTTTTCGGGGCAAAATAAAAATTATTTATTCGTTATTTATTTGTGGTAGTGAAAACCTTCGAAAATCAATTTGATGTTAATTTTTAAGGGAGGGGAGTAAAGAGGGAGGGAAAGAAGAGGGGAAAACGGGGAGGGGGGAAAGAAACGGGAGTAGTACCTGATTGACATTCCCGATCGAAAAAAAATTTTTTCTTCCGAACCTTAACCTTGGCAAGGGTGTTTTATTTTTATTGATAAATGATAACATCGTGTGTGTGTGCGTGTGTGTATGCACTTGTACGTGTAAGTGCACCAAAGGTGGAAGAAATCGTGCTAGACGTACACCGAGAGAGAGAGAGAGAGAGAGAGATATTCGCTAGTGAAACCTTGACAACATTATCATCATCATCATCATCATCGGCTAGCTACCTATAAAATTCAGCAATAAATTTCCCACCTGCCCACGGGTTTCTCGAATGACTTTGACATTGACTTTGTCGAGTTTTTTCTTTTTTTTAATAACTTAATCGTAAAATGAAAAGCCATTACTAATTGTATGCGATTAGTTATAAATGTTAATTAATGATGATTGAGCGGTAAACGAGTAAAAGAAAGAAAGAGAGAAAAACTCGGATTCGTAAGCTTATTACCCCCCCCCCCACACACCCTTCCCTCCCTCCCTCCCACTGCCTCCCCCTCAAATACGATACGAAATTAATAATGGTGGTCAGTAAAATTGTTTCTCTCTGTCTCTCTCTCTCTCTCACTCGCTTATCCAGGCCGAAATTATTATTTTTCAAAAATTTTATTTTAAAAAGAGAGAGAAAGAGAGAGAGAGTTTGGGGAAAAAATGGCGGAAGAAAGGGAGTTGAACGAGAAAAAAACGTGAAGGAAATTTTTTTTTTTTTTTTTTTTTTAAAAGAAACCTTTTTCGGATTTGTAGGTGAACGAGTGGAGAGAAAAAAAAAGGAAACGGAATCGAAATTTTGGAAAAATATTCAAGTTCAGCTTTTTTTTATTTTTGGAAAGGTTTTGGAAAAGTTGTTCGATTGAAATGTCTCAAGGGTCCGATAATACTCCGACGATTCTCTCTCTCTCTTCGTTTCCTCCCTCTTTTCTCGTGCCACGTATTTATTTAAGTCGAAAGAGACGTGGCAGTAAAGAAAAACAAGTGGCTTTTCACCCCCGAGGTTTTTTATTATTATTATTATTATTTTTTTTTTTAATAATCGCTTGAACAAGACGATGAATATGTCGATTTGTACACGGAGTATTTCTCTCTCTCTCTCTCTCTTTTACACGTGCGCAAAAAAAAAAGACAAGGAAGATAAAATTTTAAATTCATTTTTCGACCGATATGAAATTTCGGGTAAAGACAAAATAATAATAATAATGATAATGATAAAAGTCCAAAAAAAAGAAATTTTTTTTTTTTTTTTTTTCACGTAAATAAGAGAAACGTGCGTGTGCGCGTGCGTGTGCGCGTGCGTGTGCCCGGTGTCATTTTTCTAAAGGGCAGAGCCCCGAAAAAAAAAAAAAAAAAAAAAAAAAAAAATTATGTTAAAGTCATTGAATGCGTTTGAACTGAGTTGAGAGAGAAAAAAAAAGAAATTTTTTGCAACGACCTCGAGAATCACCTGAAATTTATATTATTATTATTATTTATACGACTGATAAGACTTATCAGTCGTTGCGATTATTATTTTGTTCTACTCTCTCTCTCTCGCACGCACGCACGCACGCTCTCTCTTTCTTTCTCTCTCTCTCGAATCTCGGTGACGATCGTCAAAATGCAAGGGCAAAAATCAAATGTAATTAATATGATTATTATTATTATTATTAATTTTTTTTTGTTTTTTCGAGTCGCGGTAACGGTAAAAGTCTTTACGAAAGGGGAGTTCATTTTGACGTGGTTTTAGATTTTCTCTCTCTCTCTCTCTCTCTCTTCAATTCAGCAACGGTTCTTTCGGTTTCAAATTTGTAAATTATATACACGTCACGTTATTGATTATTTTTAAACACGAATATTATTCGATCGAATGGTTAGAAATAGTCGTTTTTTTACACGGGGGGACATGGGGGGGGGCAGCAGGAAGAGAGAGAGAGAGGAGGGTGCAAACAGGTTAAAAGAAAAAAAATTTGGTTCTGCCAAAATGTCCAATAAAAGGGGGGGATAATTTTGCGGCGGTTATTCGTTTATTATTTGCTTCGATTCGGTTTTTTTTTCTGAAGGGGAGGAGGGGGAAGGGGGGTTTTTCGATTTCGTCATTGTCCTTTTTCTTTTTTCTCGCGAAAAATGTCTCTCTTTGGGATTTTCGAAAATTGCTGCTTAAAATTGCTTTGCGGTAGGTTGGAAAAAAAAAAAATGTTTCAGGTAGCCAATATAAAGGGTTTTGTCGAGGAGGCGGGGGGAGTGGGGGGAGTCATGGTATATAAATGGTTAAGACGGGTGTAGAAAGTGTCGGACGGACGGACGGATTACTCAGTGTGACAATTTTAAAATTATGAATAATGATGAGTGAGTGAAGGGTGTGTTCGTGAGTGTGTGGCTTCCGGTGACTCTTTTGTTTTTAAACGTATGAGAATTTCAAGTTCGAAAGGAAAGGAAAGGATACCTACCATCGAGTAGGGGAAACGATCACCACGTTTCGGACGTGGAAAAAGAAAAAAAAATGGCGACCGCAAAACGAAAGATGAAAATATAAAGCGGATGTGCGTCTATAGAAGACCTTGAACGAATTCAACAGAGCGCGTGGATCCTCATTAAATAAAATGGGATCGGCAATCAAAGTGCAAGGTATGATGATGATGATAATGATGACAAGGTATACGCACACACGCACGCATGCAAAGGATGTTGCAATACGCAACGTGACGACGTTTGACGTGACCAAAAAAAGAAAATGAAACGATTTAATAAATCATCTATTGGAAAAAATAATTAAACGTTTTTCTAAAATATTTCGTAATGAATGATAGTAAAGAAAGAACAAACAAACAAACAACAACAACAACAAACAACATTTTTTTTTTTGCGTATTTTTCCAAAATAGAAAACAACAACAATGATGATGATGATGATAATAATAAGTTGTGGGTTTTATTGGATTTTTGTGTTTTTTCTATTTTAAAAAACGAAAAAAAAATTTCTTTCATTTATTTGCGTTGGATATTTATTCACACAACAAACAAACAACAACAACAACAAACAACAAATTTTCGCACGATTGTTTTCGTTTTAACGTATCGATACGTGATATAAACAAACGTGTAATTATCGAGTGGGTAAAAAAGAGATAGAGAGAGAGAGAGAGAACGCAGGTATGAATGAAGTAAAATAATTGATTAATAATAATAATTATAATAATAATGATAACAACAATAATCGTGAGTTTAAACGGTCGAAATTTTTTTTTTCTTTTTCTTCTTCTCCTGCCACGTGTTTTCTCTCTCTCTCTCTCTCTCTCTCTCTCGTCAACGTGTTGGGAGGAGCGTTTGAAAAAATTTGTTTTCTTTTTTTTTATTAAAAACTTTTCCGGTTCGATCGTTTGTGTCACGTTTATTTTTATTTATTCGTTTATTTATTTTTTTTGGGAAATTTGTCATTGACGAATGACGACACAAAAATTATCATTATTATTATTATCATTATTATTATCATTATTATTATTATTATTATTATCATTATTATTATTATTATCATTATTATTATTATTATTATTCATGTTTCATCACCTGACGGTTATTGAAAATTTTTTTTTATCATTTTTCCTTAACGTTTTTTTGTTTTGGTTTTGTTTTTCCATAAAAATTTTCTTTGTTTCCCCCCACCCCCCACCCCCGGTTATGAAAGGAAATTAACGACTTTTTGTAAATGGCGCCAAAAAAAAATATGTTGATTTCAATGACGATCGTCATCATCATCATCATCGTCGTCGTGGTTTTAAATGTGCGTAGTTTATTTATTTTTTATCATCATCATCATCATCATTATTATTATTATTATTATTATTATTATTATTATTATTATTATTTCGTGTTTTTTCTTTTTTTTTCCATAACTCGAATTAATAATTTATTCGATTATTTATTTCAAACGCCTTGGATTTGGTCGTAAAAAAAAAAAATAATAATAAATAAAAATAAAATAAAAATTTTTTATTCGCGGAATAATTTGTGGTTTTTGACGCAAGTCGTCTTTTTGGCATCTTTCATTATCATTATTATGCGTGGCGAAAGGTTTAAAACCTTGCTTGCGTTGACGGAAGGGGAGGGAGGAGGGGAGGAGGGGGAGGGGAACGACAACAACCGCGACGTGATTGTTCAAGTCGAAAAAACCGTGAAAATGTTTTTTGTTTTTAATTCGTCAATTATAACAATGCATCAATAGATGATGGCGATGATGATGATGATACGTGATTATGTTCACGTTTTTTTTTAATTTATATTGAATTCGACTTGTTGCCTCCCCTCCCCCGTGCACGCACACGCACGCACGCACAGGGTTCGGCCTTTGCTCTGTTGACATACCTTAAACACGTCGCCGTTCGTTAATTGTAATTCACGTGTATGCGTGTGCGTGCATGCATTCATGCATGAATGAAATGACGAAACGTGATATTCGGGGAGAGAAGGAGGGGAAGGGGAGGGTAAGGCCGTGGCAGTAGAAAAAAATTTTTTTCCCCCCCCCCCCATCCACGGATCGAAAAATATGCCTTCCGAGCTTACGATTTTCGTAATGATAACGGGAGGGAGGAGAGAAGGAAGAGGAGAAGGGGAGGGAGGAAATGATCGTAATTATTAAACTATGATAATACGTAACACACATTACTAATGATAATAATAAT